GGACACAATGCTGATGACACTGTAAGGTGATATAAACACCACGGACACAATGCTGACCACACTGTAAGGTGATATAAACAATAAGGACACAATGCTGACGACACTGTAAGTTGATATTAACACTAAGGACACAATGCTGACCACACTGTAAGGTGATGTAAACACTGTAGCGTGATATTAACACCAAGGACACAATCTGCAAGGTGATATAAACACTGTAAGGTGATATAAACCCCAAGGACACAATGATGACCACTGATATAAACACTGTAGCGTGATATTAACACCAAGGACACAATGCTGACGACACTGTTAGGTGATATAAACACTGTAAGGTGATATAAACACCAAGGACACAATGCTGACGACACTGTAAGGTGATATAAACACTAAGGACACAATGCTGACGACACTGTAAGGTGATATAAACACTAAGGACACAATGCTGACGACACTGTAAGGTGATATAAACACTAAGGACACAATGCTGACGACACTGTAAGGTGATATAAACACTAAGGACACAATGCTGACGACACTGTAAGGTGATATAAACACTAAGGACACAATGCTGACGACACTGTAAGGTGATATAAACACTAAGGACACAATGCTGACGACACTGTAAGGTGATATAAACACTAAGGACACAATGCTGACGACACTGTAAGGTGATATAAACACTAAGGACACAATGCTGACGACACTGTAAGGTGATATAAACACTAAGGACACAATGCTGACGACACTGTAAGGTGATATAAACACTAAGGACACAATGCTGACGACACTGTAAGGTGATATAAACACTAAGGACACAATGCTGACGACACTGTAAGGTGATATAAACACTAAGGACACAATGCTGACGACACTGTAAGGTGATATAAACACTAAGGACACAATGCTGACGACACTGTAAGGTGATATAAACACTAAGGACACAATGCTGACGACACTGTAAGGTGATATAAACACTAAGGACACAATGCTGACGACACTGTAAGGTGATATAAACACTAAGGACACAATGCTGACGACACTGTAAGGTGATATAAACACTAAGGACACAATGCTGACGACACTGTAAGGTGATATAAACACTAAGGACACAATGCTGACGACACTGTAAGGTGATATAAACACTAAGGACACAATGCTGACGACACTGTAAGGTGATATAAACACTAAGGACACAATGCTGACGACACTGTAAGGTGATATAAACACTAAGGACACAATGCTGACGACACTGTAAGGTGATATAAACACTAAGGACACAATGCTGACGACACTGTAAGGTGATATAAACACTAAGGACACAATGCTGACGACACTGTAAGGTGATATAAACACTAAGGACACAATGCTGACGACACTGTAAGGTGATATAAACACTAAGGACACAATGCTGACGACACTGTAAGGTGATATAAACACTAAGGACACAATGCTGACGACACTGTAAGGTGATATAAACACTAAGGACACAATGCTGACGACACTGTAAGGTGATATAAACACTAAGGACACAATGCTGACAACACTGTAAGGTGATATAAACACCAAGGACACAATGCTGACGACACTGTAAGGTGATATAAACACCAAGGACACAATGCTGACCACACTGTAAGGTGACATAAACACTAAGGACACAATACTGACCACACTGTAAGGTGATATAAACACCAAGGACACAATGCTGATGACACTGTAAGGTGATATAAACACTAAGGACACAATGCTGACCATACTGTAAGGTGATATAAACACTGTAAGGTGATATAAACACTGTAAGGTGATATGAACACCAAGGACACAATGCTGACGACACTGTAAGGTGACATAAACACTTTAAGGTGATATAAACACCAAGGACACAATGCTGACGACACTGCAAGGTGATATAAACACTGTAAGGTGATATAAACCCCAAGGACACAATGATGACCACACTGTAAGGTGACATAAACACTAAGGACACAATGCTGACCACACTGTAAGGTGATATAAACTCCAAGGGCCCAATGCTGACCACACTGTAAGGTGATATAAACACCAAGGACACACTGCTGACGACACTGTAAGGTGATATAAACACTGTAAGTTGATATAAACACCAAGGACACAATGCTGACGACACTCTAAGGTGATATAAACACCAAGGACACAATGCTGATGACACTGTAAGGGGATATAAACACCAAGGACACAATGCTGACGACACTCTAAGGTGATATAAACACCAAGGACACAATGCTGATGACACTGTAAGGGGATATAAACACCAAGGACACAATGCTGACGACACTGCAAGGTGATATAAACACTGTAAGGTGATATAAACCCCAAGGACACAATGATGACCACACTGTAAGGTGACATAAACACTAAGGACACAATGCTGACCACACTGTAAGGTGATATAAACACTGTAAGGTGATATGAACACTAAGGACACACTGCTGACGACACTGTAAGGTGATATAAACACTGAAAGGTGATATAAACACTGTAAGGTGATATGAACACCAAGGACACAATGCTGACGACACTGTAATGTGATATAAACACTGTAAGGTGATATAAACACCAAGGACACAATGTAGACGACACTGTAAGGTGATATCGACACTGTAAGGTGATATAAACACCAAGGACACAATGCTTACGACACTGTAAGGTGATATAAACCCCAAGGACACAATGATGACCACACTGTAAGGTGACATAAACACTAAGGACACAATGCTGACCACACTGTAAGGTGATATAAATACCAAGGACACAATACTGACGACACTGTAAGGTGATATAAACACTAAGGACACAATGCTGGCCATACTGTAAGGTGATATAAACACTGTAAGGTGATATAAACCCCAAGGACACAATGATGACCACACTGTAAGGTGACATAAACACTAAGGACACAATGCTGACCACACTGTAAGGTGATATAAACTCCAAGGGCCCAATGCTGACCACACTGTAAGGTGATATAAACACTGTAAGGTGATATAAACAACAAGGACACAATGCTGACGCCACTGTAAGGTGATATAAACACTGTAAGGTGATATAAACACCAAGGACACAATGCTGACCACACTGTAAGGTGATATAAACACCAAGGACACAAACCTGATGACACTGTAAGGTGATATAAACACTAAGGACACAATGCTGACCACACTGTAAGGTGATATAAACACCGAGGACACAATGCTGACGACACTGTATGGTGATATAAACACTAAGGACACAATGCTGACGACACTGTAAGGTGATATAAACACCAAGGACACAATGCTGACCATACTGTAAGGTGATATAAACACCAAAGGATACAATGCTGACCACACTGTAAGGTGATATAAACACTGTAAGGTGATATAAACACCAAGGACACAATGCTGACGACACTGTAAGGTGGTTTAAACACCTAGGACACAATGCTGACGACACTGTAAGAAAGCCATGTGTACATGATAGCGGCACTCTGTATATTATTAGAAGGACCAAGGTGAGCTTATGCCTTACCGTGGTGTCCGTCGTCTGTACATCAACAATTGCTTTAAATGACTTCTTCTCCTTAACCACTGATTGGAATTTAACTAAATTTGAATGGAAGCATCCCTAGGTGGTGGTGATTCAAAATTCTACAAATAGTTGGGCTGACCCCCCAGGGGGCTGAGGGGCGGGGCCAAAAGGGGTCAATTAGGCTATATATGGCTACAAACAACCTATTCTGTAGAACTATGCACTGGATATCAATCATATTTGATCAAAAACATTCATTGAAGGCAGGGATTCAAAATTGTACAAATGGTGTGGCTGATCCCCCAGGGGGTTGAGAGGCAGAGCCAAAAAGGGTTATTTGGCTATATTGCTTTAAGCGACCTCTTCTCTGGAACTGAATGATGGATATCATTCATATTTTACTGGAAGCATCCCTAGGTAGTGGTGATTCAAAATTGTACAAATGATGGGGCTGACCTCCCAGGGTGCTGAGGGGCGGGGCCAAAAGGGGGCAATTTGGCTATATTGCTACAAACGACTTCTTCTGTAGAATTATGCACTGGATATCAATCATATTTGATCAAAAGCATTCATGAGAGGCAGGGATTCAAAATTGCACAGCTTGGAAACAGTGAAGATCCCCACCCCATAACCATACATAAAATTGCTGGGCATGAAAAATCTAATACAGATATGCTACATATTCCCTTGGATCTCATTTGGAGAATATTTTGCCATAATTGCTTAGATATCCAGGTGAGCGATACAGGCCCTCTGGGCCTCTTGTTTACAGATACCAAACAACAGAAAACAACCTTACCCAAACGACACTGTACATAATTTGGTACCAGATATTTGAAATTCATGTGATTTAGTATCTCATAATATGTTTGTTAACTCGTGCCGTTACTATTTCAGAGCCCCGGATGATTAGGTTCTGTGGCCGCCGCGTTCTCTGTCACCAGGACTTCAGGTTCTATCTGTCTGCACCACTTGCAAAACCCAAATTTAACCCAGAGATCGCATCTGGCACCACCCTCATAAACTTTGGTGTGTCACATGACACGTTGACCGAGGATCTGTTGACACGTGCGTTTGCCCGGATGCGGCCCAAGCTGTTCAAGGAGCGCATGTTAGCATTAAAAAACATGCAGTTGCAGCGTGACACACTGCTGCGACTGTCAGAAATTGTCAAGGACCGCATTCTCACTCAACAGGAGGCCATGTTGGGTAGTGCCAAGGCCCTCAAGTTCATTACTGACATCACCAATGCCAAGATGGAGGTAAGGTCCCCGTACAGTTATACTGTTACCAAGGTTCCCTGCCCACTAATCAAAAAGAGTCTTTATGGACAGATCAGTACCCAGTGAATCATTTAATTTGCCATTCACTGGTAGCTATGTACAAATATTTGTTAGGGACAGTTTGGGTTAACTTGTGAACATTTCCTAGAATAAAAATGTTTTAGTCATTTTTAAAGCAGTGTTAGAGAGAAGATCAACATATAGCAATTTATAATGTAAACATAATTAGAAACAACAATCAGTACTTTACCAACTAACCATCATGTAGAGCTAAACCTGAAGAATACAAAACAACCAAAATTGTGTTTATTCCAGTTGGCCAATCAACTAACAGAGACTCAGACGCTGCTCACAGACCTTGATGACCTTAAAGATGAGTTGTTCCCCTTGGCTCGGAGGGCAGCCATGTTGTATGCAATCTTGCGTTCTCTACAGAGTATCCATAATGAGTACCAGTTTACTCTGCGCTACTTTGTGAAGCTGTTTGATGAGGCTGTTGGAGGGGAAGTGCCCCAAGAATTCTGGGAGGATGACATTGATGGCGTGAGTATAATGATCAACTTAATTCCGCCTTCAAAACTGATTTCATTGTGACAGGCATTGGTGGCATTGATCTCAATGCTGATATGTTGTAGTTGTCATTTGCTGTATCTTGCTGATATGTTATAGTTGTCATATGCTGTATCTTGCTGATATGTTGTAGTTTTCATATGCTGTATCTTGCTGATATGTTATAGTTGTCATATGCTGTATCTTGCTGATATGCTGTAGTTGTCATATGCTGTTTCTTGCTGATATGTTGTAGTTGTCATATGCTGTATCTTGCTGATATGCTGTAGTTGTCATATGCTGTATCTTGCTGATATGTTGTAGTTGTCATATGCTGTATCTTGCTAAAAGGTCGACATCTCATATTGTTTAACCAATGGCTGTGCATAAGGTATCAAACTCCTGTTCAGTTCTGTAAGTAAGTTTAAGTTTCATGTAACCAGGGCTACGAGGATGCTGATGACCAAAGTAGTGTGGATATAGAGAAGAAACGTCGAACAGGGAGTACATCATCTCATGCTTCCAAGGACAGCGCTACAGCTGGGGCTCCAACCACAGAGAAACCGTCAAAATCAGAAAAGGATCGCGCCGAGGGCGAGTATGAGGCAGACTTTGAGGGTGGCAGTCATGTACAGAGTCAGCAGCAAGCTACCACAGAGGGTAAACAACCAATACATTATCTTACTAACTACACACCACAGAGGGTAAACAACCCACACATTGTCTTACTAACTACACACCACAGAGAGTAAACAGCCAACACATTGTCTTACTAACTACACACCACAGAGGGTAAACAGCCAACACATTGTCTTACTAACTACACATCAAAGAGGGTAACAACTAATACATTATCTTACTAACTACACATCACAGAGGGTAAACAACCAACACATTGTCTTACTAACTACACACCACAGAAGGTAACAACCAACACATTATCTTACTAACTACACATCACAGAGGGTAACAACCAACACATTATCTTACTTACTACACATCACAGAGGGTAACAACTAATACATTATCTTACTAACTACACATCACAGAGGTTAAACAAGCAACACATTGTCTTACTAACTACACACCACAGAGGGTAACAACCAACACATTGTCTCACTAACTACACATCACAGAGGGTAACAACCAACACATTATCTTACTTACTACACATCACAGAGGGTAAACAGCCATCACATTATCTTACTAACTACACATCACAGAGGGTAAACAACCAATACATTATCTTACTAACTACACACCACAGAGGTTAACAACCAACACATTATCTTACTAATTACACACCACAGAGGGTAACAACCAACACATTGTCTTACTAACTACACACCACAGAGGGTAACAACCAATACATTATCTTACTAACTACACATCACATAGGGTAAACAACCAACACATTGTCTTACTAAATACACACCACAGAGGATAAACAGCCAACACATTGTCTTACTAACTACACACCACAGAGGGTAAACAGCCAACACATTGTCTTACTAAATACACACCACAGAGGGTAAACAACCCACACATTGTCTTACTAACTACACATCACAGAGGGTAATAACCAACACATTATCTTACTTACTACACATCACAGAGGGTAAACAGCCATCACATTATCTTACTAACTACACATTACAGAGGGTAACAACCAACACAGTATCTTACTAACTACACTTCACAGAGGGTAATAACCAACACATTATCTTACTTTCTACACACCACAGAGGGTAACAACCAACACATTATCTTTCTAACTACACATCACAGAGGGTAACAACCAATATATTATCTGACTTACTACACATCACAGAGGGTAAACGACAACACATTGTCTTACTAACTACACATCACAGAGGGTAAACAACCCACACATTGTCTTACTAACTACACATCACAGAGGGTAAACAGCCAACACATTGTCTTACTGACTACACACCACAGAGGGTAACAACCAACACATTATCTTACTAACTACACACACAGAGGGTAATAACCAACACATTATCTTACTTACTACACATCACAGAGGGTAAACAGCCATCACATTATCTTACTTTCTACACATCACAGAGGGTAACAACCAACACATTATCTTACTAACTACACACACAGAGGGTAACAACCAACACATTGCCTTACTAACTACACATCACAGAGGGTAACAACCAACACATTATCTAACTTACTACACATCACAGAGGGTAAACAGCCATCACAGTATCTTACCTACTACACACCACAGAGGGTAAACAACCACGTATGTATATTCTGTAAATATCAAAAAAGAGTAAGACCAGTCAAAAATTATTAAATAAAATATCCTCTTCTGGTATGCCAGTGTATAAAGGTAAGTTTTAGTGTTGATAGAGTCCTTTCAAAAGTTTTGTAAGACAGGTTTGACTGTATTTGTTTCAAAAGGTGATGAATCAGCCAGCACTGCAGCGGCCCAGAAGCTGATTGCAGGGTCTGAGTCAGAGGAGCTACCTCCCCTGGAGATTCCAGAGACCACCACATTGCCTACCGAGGGGGTGGAATATGACAATCTATCAGCCAATGAAATCAAAAAGATCATGGACCAGCTAACTGGACTGGTGTACAGACGAATCAGAGAGTATGTACACTGTTGGTCTGTGTTTGATGTACTGTCATAGGAACACTGTACCATAAATCAACTCGTGATATAGCCTCAAAATACATATCTAAAGTACAAAACATTCTCCAAGTTCAGAATAAGATTCATCAGTTTGGTATGAAAAATAAAGTCTTAAGTTTGCTTTGCACCTAAACAGGAATTGAAAAGTATTTTGTGAGCTTTCCTTTGTCAAGCAATGAGTGTAAATGACCAGTGTCTTGACTCCAAACTGCTGAATACAACTCACTAAGCATCATTGGGCTGAATCAGGAAATTCAGCTGTCAAAAATCATAGAGACATTTCACCCCATTCCACGCTATTGCGCTCCACAGTCTGGTGGACGGGTAACATGTTTACCCATTCCACCCTATTGCGCTCCACAGTCTGGGGAACGGGTAACATGTTTACCCATTCCACCCTATTGTGCTCCACAGTGTGGGGGACGGGTAACATGTTTACCCATTCCACCCTATTGCGCTCCACAGTCTGGGGGACGGGTAACATGTTTACCCATTCCACCCATTTATAGCTGCTACCTTATATTCATTGGAGAAACTGGCAGGAAAATGGGGACATGCCTAAAAAAGAACATCAGAAAGATGTTGAAACTTTGAAACAGTAATTCTACACTAAAAATACAAGGAAAACTTCTAAGAAACAATACAAAAAAATTTCAGACCATACTAACACACACAACCACATCATAGACTGGAACAACTCGAAAGTGGTGGAAAGGGTAGACACCTGGAAAGTCAGGAAAACCAAAGAATCAATCTGGGTTAGGAGGGAAGGGGATTCGATGGGGTCTTTAAGACCCCATTTAACCATCCACTAAGGGGCGAAATGATTAAACATGTTACCCCTGCCGGTATGATTTTTGACAGCTGTCACTTTATTCTCAAAGTTACTTGAATTTGCAAAATTCATCAAAACAAAAACATTTTCATGAAGTCCATATGATTTGAAATTTTAGAAAAGATTCAATTATATTATTAAATGTCTGATTAAATTATAATATTATTCTGTTTGTCATGGTGTGGTTTATCAGCTTGGATTAATTGAGGATTGTTATTTATAATCTGGAGGATGTTTATATATTGTAACTGTATTAAATAAAAGGCTTTATCATAATACTTTATATTGTAACATATTAAATATTTTCTTAGGTGTAAGGATGTTATATTTGTTGGTAGTGATTATAAATATATATTTGTCTTAATTGGTCAAAAAGCTTCAGAGTCTGTTAATTTGTATATCATAAAGAGTTACTTCCCTTGGTCGACAGGTGCACACATGTACCGTAAGTGTGTAATTAAGAGTTACTTCCTTTTGGTCAGAGGGAGTCTGTGAGATTTAACTCAAATCTATTTATTTTGCAATTTTATGAGTAACTCTTGTTGGCACAAATGGAAGCATACAGAGGGTCTTAAGATTAGTAAATGTGTAGCATAAAAAGAATTTCCCTTGCTCAGTAGGGGGGTCTAAGATTTGTTAGTGCATAGTATAAAGAGTTACTTCCCTTGCTCAGTAGGGGTCTATAAGATTTGTTAGTGTGTAGTATAAAGAGATACTTGCCTTGCTCAGTAGGGGTCTATAAGATTTGTTAGTGCTTAGTATAAAGAGTAACTTCCCTTGCTCAGTAGGGGTCTGTAGGATTTGTTAGTGCGTAGTATAAAGAGTTACTTCCCTTGCTCAGTAGGGGTCTGTAAGATTTGTTAGTGCGTAGTATAAAGAGTTACTTGCCTTGCTCAGTAGGGGTCTATAAGATTTGTTAGTGTGTAGTATAAAGAGTTACTTCCCTTGCTCAGTAGGGGTCTGTAAGATTTGTTAGTGTGTAGTTTAAAGAGTTACCTCCCTTGCTCAGTAGGGGTCTGTAAGATTTGTTAGTGTGTAGTATAAAGAGTTACTTCCCTTGCTCAGTAGGGGTCTGTAAGATTTGTTAGTGCGTAGTATAAAGAGTGACTTCCCTTGGTTGATAGGAGCTTGTATGGAGAGGACTGTCTGCTGTTTACTACCCTGCTAACACTCAACATACAGGCAGAGGGGATGGAGAACTTCTCCAATGAGGAAATGTCGTTGCTTCTTCAAGGTAAATATGACACACTGTCAGGGGCAGTAACACAATAGATTGACCTTACAACCTTAACTATGGGAATGAGTCAAGGTTATCTATATGAAGTTGATATTTCTTCTTCTCAACATGTTATTGGCCAACTATAAATTGTTCAGAGTAAATAGTTGAAGCCGGCCAGACAGATTGAAAACAGGCACCATATTATCATGATAATAATCCTACTTGGGCATTACTGCAAGGTGAGCCAAAAGTCTCTGGGATACTTGTTCACCTCTGTGTTAGTGTACCCTTTGACATTACAGGTAATCCTGGACTGGGCATGCAGCTGACCCTGGAGGACTTTGACTGTAAGGACAGCCCCCCGGAGTGGATGCCTCAGGAGAAATGGGAGGACATGATGGCTCTGTCTGTCCTTCCTGGACCACTGGACAGCCTCTGTATCAACTTCGCCCAGAACTCAGAAGGCTGGCATGCCTGGTACAAGGCAAACCATCCAGAGAAGGAAGCTCTCCCTCTGACGCCTGTGGAGGGCGAGGCTTCCATAGGTAAACTTCTGATCTGTATTCACTCTCACACAGAGTTTCTTATCATTAATTACTTATTCTTGTCTGAAACAAGTGATGTTGCTATCAATACAAATGAAGTATATCAGCTTTGAATATGAATATAGGTTAACAGATTGTTACAATGTCAATATTCCCAGGCTCTTCATGGGTTGCATTCACCAAAGTTCAAATGTCTATGATATTTGTCAAAACAAAGATGTTTAGATATCAATTCTCGTGGAATTCAGTCTCAGCATGATGATTTGTAGTGATGCTAAACTTTCCTGTGTGTTGCAGAGAATCGGCCTGGATCTAGTGGTAGTAAGAACAGTCGTGGTGAGGGCTCCAAGTCTCCAGACCTTGGTCCCTTATCTGACTTCCATCAGCTGTTATTGCTGAGGATGCTTCGGCCTGATCGCCTCCCTATTGCCCTTGTCCGCTATGTCAACAAACACCTGACCTTTAACCTCCCAAACCAATCAGACTTCAATATACAAGATGTCCTGAAGGATGCCAAGCGCCACCTGGGTGTGCTGCTTTTACTGCCACCTAGTGCCACCAACGGGACAAAGAATCCCTCGTCACGTCTCAGTCTGACTCACCCTCCTGTCGATGTGCTCACTCGGATGGCTGAGGTGAGGGTTACAGTGTATCGTGGTTGTCCTGGTGATGGAGTCTAGTCTATCTAAAACTGTTACATCGGACTCAGTCGGAAAATTATAGTATTTCCATATCATGGGCCAAGTTAGTCTAAAATATTTTGAAAGTTGGAAGTGAGTAATATTGCACATGTGTGAATTCTGTAACAAAATATTAAACTTTAAAACAATTATGAAACAAGATATATCAATCACTCCTGTTGGCCCAGATGATAGCATACAGGGGGTGTTAATGTGGAAGAAAATGGTAGTACCTGGTGAAAATCCAATTCAACTTCTTGCGTATAATATAAGGGGCCCAATGTGAAGGCTGTGGCGCAATATTTAAGACAACAGTTTTGTCTCGTCGCCAAAAAGTGGAAGCGTGACTTAGGCGTTGCTTTTTCCGGCGACGGCGTCAACATTAAGTAATTGGGTTTAAGTTAGTTTTACTGAAAGGATAAGTGCTTCACCAACCAAACTTGGACCATAAATGCATCTTAGGTAGTACATCTCAACCCCATCTTAGGTAGTACATCTCAACCCCATCTTAGGTAGTACATCTCAACCCCATCTTAGGTAGTACATCTCAACCCCATCTTAGGTAGTACATCTCAACCCCATCTTAGGTAGTACATCTCAACCCCATCTTAGGTAGTACATCTCAACCCCATCTTAGGTAGTACATCTCAACCCCATCTTAGGTAGTACATCTCAACCCCATCTTAGGTAGTACATCTCAACCCCATCTTAGGTAGTACATCTCAACCCCATCTTAGGTAGTACATCTCAACCCCATCTTAGGTAGTACATCTCAACCCCATCTTAGGTAGTACATCTCAACCCCATCTTAGGTAGTACATCTCAACCCCATCTTAGGTAGTACATCTCAACCCCATCTTAGGTAGTACATCTCAACCCCATCTTAGGTAGTACATCTCAACCCCATCTTAGGTAGTACATCTCAACCCCATCTTAGGTAGTACATCTCAACCCCATCTTAGGTAGTACATCTCAACCCCATCTTAGGTAGTACATCTCAACCCCATCTTAGGTAGTACATCTCAACCCCATCTTAGGTAGTACATCTCAACCCCATCTTAGGTAGTACATCTCAACCCCATCTTAGGTAGTACATCTCAACCCCATCTTAGGTAGTACATCTCAACCCCATCTTAGGTAGTACATCTCAACCCCATCTTAGGTAGTACATCTCAACCCCATCTTAGGTAGTACATCTCAACCCCATCTTAGGTAGTACATCTCAATCCATGCTTCATGATCAAACGCTGGATGCGACCACCTTTTAACACCATTGACTTTGTCAGCATCTCCATCAACATTATAAGTTTATGCGTTGAAGTTAGTTTTTTCTGACATCTGCATTGATGGTCAAAGCGGGGCATAGGCGAGACATATCAATCCGAATGGCTTATTAGGAAGTGATTGTATTTATTAATGATTAAAATCACTAAAACAAATACATGGAGGATTTGTGAACTAAGTTGGCTTTTATTGTTCCCCAGTCTGTTGGAGCCAAGGTTGAGCATGTACGTGTGGGTGAGGGTTGTGAGATCATGGTGGATGAAGCAATTGATTCCGCAGAGAAGAATGATGGCTGGGTCATCATTGAGGACCTCCATCTGTCCCCAAAAGGTTTCTTCAATGAGCTTAAGAAACACCTGGTCCGTATGGCCAGGGCTAGGGGTAAGTAACAGAACTAGTTTTCCAGCTGAAATCTTTTACTATAGAGACTAACTAACTCCCTGTTCATTTATGAAATAGCAAATCATTTTGTAACTTATTGGTTTCCTTCATGATAAAAGGCTGAATTGTTAAGAAAAAACTTATTTTTAAAAAAATACTAAAACATCGGAAATTGGTAGGATGGATACACATCTATAAAACCCTCAATCAAAACTTATAACTTGTTGTGATTGTTGACAGATAACAACAAGGAGGAGAACAAAGGGGAGAGTCAGTTCTGTGTGTGGGTCACCTCTGAACCATGTGACCAGATTCCTGATTTCCTGTTACGTAACCTACACAAACTGGCCTGGAACCACATGACGATGGATGTTGTAAACAATGAACTGTCACCTCCACAGAAGGCTGATGATGCTGACATTGGAGGGGGGCCATTTAAACTTACCTACAGGTCACCTCATACTTACCTACACACAGGTATAGCTCACTTACCTACACACAGGTATAACTCACTTACCTACACACAGGTATAGCTCACTTACCTACACACAGGTATAACTCACTTACCTACACATAGTTATAACTAACTTACCTACACACAGGTATAACACACTTACCTACACACAGGTATAACTCACTTACCTACACACAGGTATAGCTCACTTACCTACA